TATATATATATATGTTAGAAATGATTTGGAAAATATTTGAACACCTTGTCTTAAAATATTTAGTCATCACGTTAAAATAAAACGTTCCATAATCAATTTTTTTTCTTTTCTTTTTTCAATTTTTCCAATTTTCCGGAAAAAAACAAAAAAAGGCTTCAGGAAAAAAACGGGAAAAAAAACGTTTTTTCCCCGAATTTTTCCGGTTTTTTTCCCGGGCCTTCACATCTCTATGTGTGCGTACCTGGTGAAATTTCCCAAAGAACTTTGGCAGGAGGAGGATGAAGGGCAGCCCCACGGTGACAACCAGGGCCAGGGGCAGGGAGACCCACAGCATCGTGGCGTAGAGGAAGATCCCCCGCATCAGGTACCACATCAGCAGGCTCAGGTCCCCCGAAAGGGCTTCGCTCACGCTCTCCGTGTCCGAGGTGATGCGGGACGTGATGTCTCCTGGAAGGAAAAAGCAAGTCAGTCAGGGTAGAGAAAAGGGGGAAGGAGACCAGGACAAGGCTCACGAGAACGAGAGGAGACAGCTTGGAAGAACCCAAGAAAAGGGCTGTGTACAAAAAAGAGGCCCATCAGTGGCTATTAGCCACCAGGATACTCGGTCTGGGCAGGGCCGGCTTGCTCACTAGGCGAACTAGGCGTTCGCCTAGAGTGCCCCGGCCCTTAGGGGCGCCAAACTGCATCCACCCCCCACCAAAAGCGCCCCCTGCTGGCTCTGACAAGGGCGCACGGGGGGAGGCAGAAGGGATCCTCGCCCAGGGTGCAAAATATGCTGGGGCCGGCCCTGGGTCTGGGGCAGTGACGCTCTGTATTCTTGGTGCCTGGGGGGGAATGGTGGGAGGGTTCTGGAGTTCTGGCTCCACTGGTGGACCTCCTGATGGCACCTGGTTTTTGGCCCCTGTGTGAAACAGAGTGTTGGACGAGATGGGTCATTGGCCTGATCCAACATGGCTTCTCTTACGTTCTTATGTCTGGGGCAGTGATGCTCTGTCTTCTTGGTGTCTGGGGGACAACAGCGGGAGGGCTTCTGGAGTTCTGGTCCCACTGGTGGACTTCCTGATGGCACTTCCTTTTTGGCCACTGTGTGACACAGAGTGCTCAACTGGATGGGCCATTGGCCTGATCCAACATGGCTTCTCTTATGTTCTTATGTCTGGGGCAGTGATGCTCTGTCTTCTTGGTCCTGGAGGGCTTTTGGAGTTCTGGCCCCATTGGTGGACTTCCTGATGGCACCTGGTTTTTGGCCACTGTGTGACACAGAGTGCTCAACTGGATGGGCCATTGGCCTGAGCCAACATGGCTTCTCTTATGTTCTTATGTCTGGGGCAGTGATGCTCTGTCTTCTTGGTCCTGGAGGGCTTTTGGAGTTCTGGCCCCATTGGTGGACTTCCTGATGGCACCTGGTTTTTGGCCACTGTGTGACACAGAGTGCTCAACTGGATGGGCCATTGGCCTGATCCAACATGGCTTCTCTTATGTTCTTATGTCTGGGGCAGTGATGCTCTGTCTTCTTGGTCCTGGAGGGCTTTTGGAGTTCTGGCCCCATTGGTGGACTTCCTGATGGCACCTGGTTTTTGGCCACTGTGTGACACAGAGTGCTCAACTGGATGGGCCATTGGCCTGATCCAACATGGCTTCTCTTAAGTTCTTGTGATGCCTCCTCTACTCAGGGTCAGAGTCAGGCCTGCAGGGGGCAGGGGTCTTTTACCTGTGCGGTTAGTGTGGAAGAACCCGATTTCCTGGCGCAGGATGGAGCTGAAGGTGGTGCTCTGGAGGCGGGTGTGGAGCCGGTTCATGGTGGCATTGTAGAGGCAGTCGCAGAGAAACTCAGTCACGGCACTGAGGGAGGGGAGAACAAAAAGGCCGGTCGGTGGCCTCCCACCGACATCAACCACCTTTCTCCTTCCCGCTCCAAACCTGCCACCCCAACTGCTCCATCCTCTCCCTACCTGCCCACCGTGAGGAGAAACATCATCCAAAGTGCTTTCTCAAAGACAGAAGAGTCGCCCTTGGTCACGATCCAGTCAGTCATGCGTCCTGTGTAGTAGGGAACGGCCATCTCCCCTGGAGAAGAAAGGGACAGCCCTCAGGACTCCAGGGTTCTTTGGGTGGGGGGGAGATGGGATGAGAAACTAAACTTGAGAAGCGAAGTAGGAGGTCGGAGAGGATTTGAACCTCCGGAGGTAAACGGAGAGGAGCAGGAATTCAAGACGGAGCCATTCCGCCAGGCCTTCGGCTGAGGCAGTGGACGTCCACCTATGGCCTCCGTGAGGTTTCTGTCTCCCATCCAATAATAATAAGAAGAAGAGGTTGGATTTATACCCCGCCCTTCACTACCCAAAGGTGTCTCAGAGCGGCTTACAAACTCCTCTCCCTTCCCCTCCCCACAACAGACACCCTGTGAGGTAGGTGGGGCTGAGAGAGCTCTTGACAGAAACTGCTCTTTTTCAAGAGCAGCTCTTATCAGAACTGTGGCTTGCCCAAGGTCATCCAGCCAGGTGCAAGTGGAGGAGTGGGGGAATCAAACCCGGTTCTCCCAGATTAGAGCCCACCCACTTAACCACGACACCAAACTGGCTCTTTCACAATAACGGTTGGCTTATTATTATCTATTACCAACGAGCCAGGGAACCTCTCACAGCCAAGCCAACTTCTGTTTTGAGCTGTGACCACGATTTGAATGTTTACTACTACGTTTTAATTTTTAACTGTGTTTATTGAATTTGGTATGTTATTTACCCACACTGAGCCCACTTGCGGGGAGGCAGGGCTATACATATCAATGAATGAATGAATGAATAAAATTATTCATGTATATGCTTTATTTAGACCCTGCCTTTTTCCAGAATGGGGGACACAAAGCGGCTTACGCCATTCTCCTGTCTTCCATTTTATCTTCACAACCACCCTGTGAGGTAGGCTAGGCCGAGAGTGTGGGACTGGCCTGAGGTCAGCCACTGTACTTCAACGGCAGAGCAGGGTTTCGAACCTGGGTCTCCCTTACCCTCGAATCTAGGACCGAGATGAACTCTGGATGAAATTTCATTCAAAAATAAGTCCGTTCGCCTGACATGGATTTGCTTCTGGATCATTGGAGTCCGTCCCTCTAAACTAACATCTCTCCTCCACACAACGTATAAATAACCTCAGGTGGGCACCCCTGCTGGTCTACAGTAGAACAGCAAGACTCGTAAGAACACAAGAAGAGCCTAGATTTCACACGTATTGCGCAGCTCCCGGCAGGGCGGCTGGGGAAGCGAAAGGGAGGCATGCCTCCACGATCAGTCCTTCCCCAGCCGGTGTTCTTTCCACCTTTCTATTTTTCTCTCTTTCTCCCTTCCTTCCTTCCTCTCTCTTTTCCTTCCTTCCCCCCTCCCTCACTTCCCCACCTATTTGCTTTCTTGGTTTCCCTTTCTCTCTTTCCACCTCTTTCATTCTTTCTTTCCACCCCTCTCTCTCTCCGACAAATCTATTGATTTCTTGTCAAATTCACACCCCGCCCTCCCCGCAAAGTGGGCTCGGGGAGGCTTCCGGTAACATAAATGCATGATAAAAACATGCATAATACAAATTAAAACATTCATAATACAAATTAATGCATAATACAAATTAAAAATAATACATTACAATGGGCTGGCAGCGCTTAAAATTCAATCAGAAGGAATGCCTTCAGATGGATTCCCAGCTTCCAGCATAAAAGTGCTTAGATGTTATTCTGCTCGTCAACTCTTATGGCAGCTGCTCGATGATGGCTTTGTGGGCCTTGCACTGCGGCGGCAGCCCCTAATTATACGCCTGGTGGAAGAGCTACGTCTTGCAGGCCCTGCGGAACTGCGAAATACCATTAGCAAACCAGTAAAGATCATTGGACAAATACACATTGTTATCAATATCTGTTTTAACCCCTTTTGTTTTTATTTTTGGCAGTCTCCTTTAATGTTAACAAAAACTTTTGTTTCATAAGAACATAAGAGACGCCAATGTTGGATCAGGCTAAAGGCCCATCCAGTCCAACACCCTGTGTCACACAGTGGCCAGAAATACCAGGGGCCATCAGGAGGTCCAGCAGTGGGGCCAGGACACCAGAAGCCCTCCCACTGTCCCCCCCCCAGCAATATTTGTCTTGCGGCTCTCAGACATCTGATGTTTATTCTACATGGCTCTTACGTTGAGCACGTTTGGCCACCCCTGGCCTAATGGATCAGACCGGTGGTCCATCTAGTCCAGCATCCTGGACATCCGACAACAGGAAACAGAGGCCGAGGGTGTGCCAGGAGTGTTCAGGAACTGGAATGACAGGGCCAAGAGTGGAATGACAGCCCCAGGGTGTGCCAGGAGTGTTCAGACACTGGATATTCAGACACTGTGCCTGAACACTGCTGCTCCACCCTAGGGCCGTCATTCCACTCCGTGGCCTGTCATCTCAGTGCCTGAACACTCCTGCTCCACCCTGGGGCTGTCATTCCACTCCATGGCCTGTCATCTCAGTGCCTGAGCACTTCTGTTACTCCCAAAGGCTGTCATTCCACTCCGTGGCCTCTCCTTCCATCCCCAGAGTAGTGTATTTGGGCCCAGAGACCCTAATGGAAAATCCATTCTGCATTTTTATTGCAACTCTACTTGTACTCTAATGTTTTCTAATGGAGCCCATGCAAGTCAATTGGCATTCTGGCTCCCATTATTTCCAATGGGTCTTCCAGCGTCTCAAATTGTTTCCAATGGGCAATCCTGTCCTTCCTTTTAGTACATCCCGGACTTGATTCCACCTGTATTATTATTATCAGCAGGGCCGGCTCACTCACTAGGCGAACTAGGCGATCGCCTAGAGCGGGACGGCCCTTAGGGGCACCAAACTGTACCCGGCCCCGTACTCTGGGAGTTTCTTGATTATTTGTGTTTTTCATTCTTCCTAAAATGAAAATTCGTGGGCGCACGGGGGGGGGGGGGCAGAAGGGATCCTCGTCTAGGGTGCAAAATAAGCTGGAGCCAGCCCTGATTATCAGTTTGTGGAACTCACAGCTACAAGACTGTGCGACAGCCGTAAACATCACTTGTCTTTCAAATACAGAGAGCTGGCTGAACTTAGAGCGGGTGCTTTGGGAAGAGTGGGTGCTGTAAGAACTCTATTCTCTGGATGAATTGGAGGGGGGGCTGAATATCACCACCGAATTAGGCTCAGGAGGTCCCCCCTCCCAAACTGACACCCGCCACGCAGTGGTCCCTCTAAGCTGAGTTAGTGTGAGCTAGCTCAGTTTTTTAGCCTCTGGCTCACAGATCTTTTTCTCAGCTCAGGAAGGGATGGCTCCAGAGCACACTGATTTAACGCAGCAGCCAAATTGCTCGCTCAGAACTTTAATGCCAGTCGCTCATAAAGTAGAATTTTTGCTCACAAGACTCCACAGCTTAGAGGGAACATTGCCCACCAGCCCCAGGATCCTGGGGACCCCACCAGGCAATCCTTGGACCTTGGGAGCTGGGAAAGGTCCCATGACGGGAAAGGGGGACGCGCACACTTACCCAAAGAGGAGACCACCATGAGACCACCCATGGCCACGAACCGCAGCACATCCGGCCTCATGCAGGAGAGGAGGCGCCCAAAGGACGCCGAGGGTCCCTTCCCGCCCCCTCCTGGGCTGGGGGGCTCCTGGAGATGCCACAGGCAGGCAGCGGCGCCCACGACGAGGTAGCTCAGGGCGAAGACGTCCGCCCGGCCCCAGGTGTGCGCCAGCTCCGAGGCGCCCCCGTTGGGCAGGAGCAGGTACTGCAGGGTGGCAAAGGAAGGCACCAGGAAGCTGAGGAGGAGCGCCGCGGGCATCAGGGCATCTCGCAGCGCCCCGGGGAGCCCGTGCCCGCCACGGCAGCCGAGGGCATAAGCCGAGAGGGTCAGCACCGGGCAGCGCACCAGGGCGGCGGCCCAGCAGCGCACCAGGGGGCTCCCCCAGGGCGGCTGGAGCGCCAGCCCCGCCAAGCGCAGGGCGAGGTAGTCCAGCAGCGCCACCGCCGCGATCCAGGCACAGGGCACCGCCAGGCCGGGCTTCATCTCTGCCGGCAAAAGGCCGCGGTCGGCGCCTGGAGATCCCGGCTTTGCAAAGTTTCCAAAAACAGCCGCTGTCGCAGCTCCCTGCCCAAAAAGGTGGGGGGGGAGGTGGATCTGCAAAAGCAGGCGCCGCCTCAACAGTCTTCAGAAGCGGAGCTGCTGCTGCTGCAGCGCTTGCACCCGCCTGGCGAGTCCGAGCCACTCACTCACTGCAATCCGGCTTTCCGCTTTGGAAATTCTCCCCCAACTGGAGGCGAAGCGGCGCAGGACGGAGCAGCCGCTAATCGGCGCTAAGGGAGCGAGTCGCGCGCCCTCTGGCGGCCGTCCGCCGCACTGCGCCTCTCGGCAGACGAGAAAAAAAATCCCCTTTCGGGCCGCTAATTCTGTCTCGCCGCCTTTTGGGGGAAATCGGGATCGATACAAGGGGGGGGGGGGGGGGGAGGAAAAGGGGAAAGGGAAAGGGAGTGGAGGGATCGCTCCTCTCCTACCCTCCGGTGCCTTCCTGGCTGGGAATCCCCTTCCAGCCTCCTCCGGGCTTCTAAGAATAGAGGCCGTTTCTGGGAACTTGAAACCGAAAGTAGCTAAAGGAGGAAGGGGGGGAGGGAAAATAAGGCACGTGGGAGGAAAAGAGCCGGAGGGGAAGGGGGGTGGCGTGGAGAGTTGGCAGCCAGCGAGTCTTTTTGTTTCTCCCGACAGGTTAGCCGCGTGTGCGATGACAGGCAGGGAGGGTTCAGGCGGTGAGGCAGTTTACACAGTGGTTAGGGTGACTGATTGGGGGATTGAGTTTTGCTGTCAAGTGTGTCCCCCACCCTCCAGTTGAACCAAAACAGATGATAACCAGGAACTAAGCTTGTCATTCTTTTGATCTGTTAAAAAAAATGTGTCCGCACTAGTTTGCATGCGAATTTAACAAACCACTCCTGTGTAGACAATCCCGATGTAATCCCCTTTCATCATCTGCCGAAGTGCCTGCGCAGGAAAGCTCACACATTGAATAAAACTTTGTAGTGGTTAGAAGCATGGACTCTAATCTGGGAGAACGGGGTTTGATTCCCCACTCCTCCACTTGCAGCTGCTGGTGTGACCTTGGGTCAGTCACAAGTTCTCTCAAGAGCAGTTCTGGAAAAGAGCTCTCTCAGCCCCACCTACCTCACAGGCTGTCTGTTGTGGGGAGGGGGAGGGAAAGGAGATTGTAAGCCCCTCTGAGCGAAGGGCGGGGTGTAAATCCAATCTCTTCTTCTTCTTCTTGAAGGTTCCACTGGACTCTTAACTTTGTTCTCTTGTTTCAGACCAAAATGGCTACCCACCTTGATCCATCTTTATGGCGACTCCATCAGGGTTTCAAGGCAAGAGACTTAACTGAGGCGGTTTGCCATTGCCTGGCTCTGAACGGCTTCCTTGATGAAACTAAGTCCGAGTCCAGGGGCAACTTTAAGACCAACCAAATTATATTCCTGGTATAAGATTTCTTGTGCACACATAACCTGGAATAAAACTTGGTTGGCCTTCAGGCTGCTGCTGGACTTGAACTTTATTTTGCTGCTTCAGACCGACCCAGCGACCCCACCTGAATCCTTCTTCCTTGGTGGTCTCCCAGGGCCAACCCTGCTTAGCTTTCAAGATCTGGGAAGACTGGTGTTGAACTAGGAGCGGGGGAGAGCCCAGTTCAAATGCCCCACACTGCAAGAAAGCTCTCTGGGTCGCCTTTGGTCAATCAGCCTCTCAAGGTCTAACTTACTTTAGAGAGCTGTTGTGAGGATAAAACTGATGTATGGCGGGAGCTTCTTAGAGGAGGAGGAGAAGGAGGAGGAGGAGATTGGATTTATACCCCGCCCTTCATGACCCAAAGGAGTCTCAGAGCGGCTTACAAACTCCTTTCCCTTCCCCTCCCCACAACAGACACCTGGGGAGGTAGGCGGGGATGAGAGAGGTCTTTCAAGAACACCTCTGAGAGAACCATGGCTTGCCCAAGGTCATCCAGCAGGTGCAAGTGGAGGAGTGGGGAATCAAACCCGATTCTCCCAGATTAGAGTCCGCGCACTTAACCACTAGAGAAGAGAGGGATTTATACCCCGCCCTTCACTACCCAAAGGAGTCTCAGAGCAGCTTACAAACTCCTTTCCCTTCCCCTCCCCACAACAGACACCTGGGGAGGTAGGCGGGGATGAGAGAGGTCTTTCAAGAACACCTCTGAGAGAACCATGGCTTGCCCAAGGTCATCCAGCAGCTGCAAGTGGAGGAGTGGGGATTCAAACCTGGTTCCCAGGGGAGGCCAGGCGGTTTTGTGTTCCAGATCGCAGTGCCAAAATACCAAACTCCAAGCTTTCAGTGGGCCTGGGGCCAGGGCCAGCTCACCCACTAGGTGAACTAGGCATTCGCCTAGAGCGCTGGGCCCTGGATGGGGCACCGGGCCCTGGATGGGGGCACCAAACTGTCCCCCCAAAAAAGCCGGCGTGCGCCCACTGCGGCACACGTTGAGGAACTCCTCTTGCAGGAGGGTGGCCTCTGCCACGCTGCCACCACACCGAGGCCAGGGACTCCTGGGACCGTCCCGGTTTGGGGTCGAATTTCCTTTCCCCACCGCCTTCCCAAAGCCGGAGCTGGGCTGCGCTCTCTCTCGCGGGTGGGCGGGCGGCCCCTCACTCCCTCCGCCAGGTTCCAGGTGTGCCCAGCCGGCTTATGTAAGCAGCTGCAGGTGGGCGGCGAGCGCCCAGTGCCAAGAAAGGCAGCTCTCGCACGTGACTCAGCCACTGCGGCGGTTGCAGGGCTCGGCCGGGCGGCTGGCTCACGAGGGGTGGCCATGAGCCGGCATGCTGCTTCCCTTGGCTCGGGGAAGCAGAAACTGGGCTGCGGGGGTGGCCATGTGAGCCCCCCCTGCACCGCTGGGTGCCCTCCCCACGCTTTTGGGGCCGAAGCCACTGCAATGCCCCCCCCACATCCACCCCACATGCACTG